CTAAAGAAAGAACTATTATTATACTTATGAATAAGTGTAATACGAGTCATGGTGGCGCAATGGTTAGAATGCAGTATTGCAGGCTAACTCTGCCCAAGGCCAGGAGTTCAGTCTTGATCGGCTGAAAGTTGATTCAGCCTTCCATCTTTCCATGGTCGGTAAAATGAACACAGTATTGAACAGCATATTGTTGGGAGCAATATGCTGACGTTTGTAAGTAACTCAGAGAGTAAAGCATTATGGAATGGTATATAAGTCTGAGTGCTATTGCTATTGCTAAATCGTTTAGCAGATTAATTTGATACACCGCTTCTTGTGATATTCTTAACACCTGTGCAGAACATTATGCATGGGTGCTGTCCAGAAATGTTGGCCCATAATTCCATATCCAGTTTAATTAACTGTGTTAATTAAAGTCATGGACCTAATGGTTTTAAAATGTTACAGGATATGATGTTAGTGAAATTTCCTGAAGAACATTTTTATTTCAACAGGCTGGTCTGGCCTAACTTCCCTTTTAATTGTAAATTGTAAATTTGTTTTAAAACATTAGGGGTGTTTTAATTTGTTTTGGGCCAAATCATTTAATGGGTTTTTATATTGTCTTTTAAATTTTGTAGTTTGTGTGTTTTATTTTTTTGGCTGTTCACCGCCCTGAGTCCTTCGGGAGTAGGGTGGTATATAAATCCAAAAAAATAAAATAAAAATAAAAAATAAAATAAATGTATGGAATATTAAGAATGGATGCCACATCTTAGTGTCAAAATTCCAGATAACTTCTAGATGGCAGTAAGTACAATTTTCTCTCTTTGTTGCTATAATGGTTATCTGGTCTACTATTAAGCATATTTGTATCTACTTTCAAATTTCACTGTTTTAAAAATATCATTTGTATAATTCACATAATCTGTGACAATGTATATTCACAAAATTATCATCGTCATCACCATCATCATCTGTTTATCCCAGGTCCTCGGGAAGGACTCAATAGGAGGATAAAAATGTCAAATCCTGCCTGAATATCTGGCTGACTGTACAATGAACTGTATTAATTAAACCTGTATGCTGCTTTCTGTTAACAACTAGGTGACTCACAACAATCAAAACGAAGAAATCACAATAAAATCAACAAAACATAAAAGCTAACAATAAAAGATGTCACCCACGATGAAGCAAGGGGTTATATTCTGTCTTGCCAAAGGCCTGGCTGATAGAATAATGATAGAATGTTAAGATTAATAGCTAAAAAAGACCTTATGTTAAGTTCAAAGGTGGAGTTGTAGGCCTGCAGAGAAACTCTTATGTATAAATAATTATTTTACTTGTGCAAATAATTAGCAGTCAATAGATAATTAGGAAGAGATTCCATGAAACCTGAAGTTTTGTCAACTCTAATCCTGTTCCAAGTTGCTAATTACAGCCACCTTAGAAACACCTCTTTGTTATCATTTCTAATCCTGCCTCTTTCAGTGGTCCATAGATCTAGCTTCTGCTTTCTAATTCCACTGGTATATCTAGCATTTCATTCATGGTAGCTAATTTGGGTATTAACTTAATCAGAGGAAGAGTAAATGGGCAGGAAAAGCTCTCAGCGTGATCTTGGAATGATAAGGTGCAAATGAAAAGGAAATCATTTTATCAAAGGGAAGTTTGCATGTAGCTAGAATCAAGTTCTTGGAAGGAAGTCTTACTTGGGTAATCTACATAATAATAATAAGATTGTTGAGCAAAAGGCACTCCTGCTTGATAAGCCCTCACAGAAGATTTTTTTAGAAATTCTAATTGATCTACTGCTCTGAATAAAGGAGTAAAACTTGCTTCAGTGTATATACTGTATTAAACTTAGGTGAAAAGAAATTAACTCTGTTTTTTTTATACCAGAACTCCTTTGTTCCTCTTTCATTTTCCAATTTCCAAATAATTTTTTTATTTTTTACATATTGATAAGGAAGGCCCATTTCAATAATATATCAACCTTGATTTCTAAAACCAATGTTGATTATTTATGATTTGTAATTTTATACTATTATTTGCACTACAAATGAAATGTTTTGAAATGGTACAGTTTGTACTGTATAAAGTCTGTCAATTGCTTTCCAAGGGTGAGCTAAAAGCATGGAGGGTTTTTTTTTAAAACCAGGAAGCCAATCAACATAACTTAGATTTTTCATGATGGAATTATTCTTTCTTGAAAACAGGAAGTTTATAGTCTAAGCATGCAGTTGGGTATTTAGGAATTCAACTTCAGTTCATCTTGTCATAGTCACAAAGGTTTTAGTAATCCATTTTGATTGAATTGTATAATGAGATTTACACAGGATCATCTCTGAAGGTTCAGTTGCTATAAATACTACTAGAAATGTTCTCAAATGTGAGATTACTTAAAATAAATAAAAATCACATTTAAATGAGTAATTCTTTATTATACCAGCTATGTTGACTACTGCTCAGTTTCTTAATACAAGCCCATTATAAACAAAATATCATTTTTCCCTATATAAATTTCCTCATCTACTGTGCTCATTTTCACTTTCCATAACTTCCAAATATGATCAGCACATAAACTTTTTTGCTATGGCACCAAAATGTAAATATTCCTTGGTTTAAAAGTTAAGACTCTTTTCTGACAAAGGCTCTTGGCAAAACCATTTTTTGGTCAGTTACCATTCAAATAATTAAGTTTCCCAGTAAGCTTATGATTACTGGAAATGACTGTAGTATAATAATGGATTGTTGTGGCTCCGTCCTCCGAGCCTATCTTATCAGAGGAAGAAGGCTCTGAACATGAAGGAAAGGAGATGGCCAGGCCTCCCTCTCCAGGACCCTCCTCTCTGGCAATGCCTCAGGTGTCTCCCGAAGGAGAAGAGATTGGCCAGGAGCCAGGTGTTTCTGAGCCGTCGGATAGTGACGAAGAAACATTGTGGTTGGACCCATGCCAGCGTCGGAGAGACAAGCGGGCGCAGCAGAAAAGGAGGCGTGCCAGAGATTAAGCTGAGTCACTGGACCACACCCCACAGGCTATAAAAGGGAGTGTGGTGGCCATTCGGACTCTGTGATGGACAAAGCTAATCTCTGGCGAGGCACTTTGCACCTTCGGACACAACACCTATTTGCTGTGGATTTAATTACAAACTGGACTATTCAAACTGTGTGTATTTTTGTCTGTGTTATCGGAGTAAAAGTTCTTGGCAGGCAGCCACGGAGTTGCTGCCAAGTTCCTTATCATTGATGTTGAGTGTTTGAAGAGTTTATTTAACCCTTGGCTGGCTGGTTGGGTGTGTGCATGGTACTGGGACAGAACATGGATGTCATATTCCAAGTTCAGTTTTTAAGGATGGCGGGAAAATCCTGTGGAGTTTTTGTTGGATGTTTATAATAAGTTAGCCTTCCACAGTAGCAACCATGCTACAGTAGCTACAATGATTGCAATTCAGCAAAGTGGAAACATACTGGTTAGTCCTTGACTTACAACCACAATTGAACCCAAAGTTTCTTTTGTTAAATGAGACAATTGTTAAATGAGTTTTACCCCATTCTCCATAGTGGTGGAGACAGCATCCAGGAATGGGTTGTACTTGTCTGTTCAGTTGATTGGACTGAGTCTGCCAAAGTTGAAATGTCCTGCCCTTGTTGCTAAGACCTCCCAGCTTTTGACTCCGTCCTTCAGCCTGGACAGACGTGTCAAAGGTTTCTCCATTGTGGGTGGAGCCAGCAGCCAGGCATGGGTTGTACTCGTCTGTTCAGATTGATGGACTGGGTCTGTCATAATTGACAAGTCCTGCCCCTGTTGCTAGGGGCTTCCATCTTTTGACTCAGTCAAAAAGTGAGTTGCTGGTGTATTTTGGTGCTTCTGAATAGGGCGAGTTGAGTGGCCATTTTGAACACCGAAAAGCTGCTGTGCCGCCCGACACTTTAAAATCCTTTCTGGTGGAGCTTTGCGTTCTCAGCTTGCCAGCCTGCATTCTGGCAGTTGCCCTGCACTTACCCCTAGGTTTAAAAGCGGCACACGGCGTAAGATTGTGAGATCGCTTGTCGATTGCCTTGACAGCAGCCTAGTGCTCCGCAGCATACCGCACAGCCATTGACAGGAGCCTTGTGCTCCACTTACTAACGGGCCTTCTCTGACAGGAGAAGCTCTCTGCAATTCATTGAGCGGCTGAGATGGCATTGAAAGCTTGGAGCCAGTGTGTGTGTATGTGTGTGTTTTTCTAGCTAAGCCCGCCATTTGCTGCCATTTGAGGAGCTTAGCGCTCCCAGGGGAAACCATTCTTAAAGGGGCAACTGCCTTTAGGTACAACCATAGCTGATGCCGAAAGCCTTGTTTAAAACAAGAAAGGGCAGGAAAAGCAGGACAGCCAATATGGCGGCTATAGAAAGGATTGATAGCAGACCTGAGGCTTCTGAAAGGGCTAGAGCCACAAGTGTCAAATCCATGTATTCTATTTCCAAGGCTCACAGCAAGACTGCCAAACACACCCAGCCTCCAAGGATCTGAATTTTGCTCATATGACGATGGGGATGTTGCAGTCGTCATAAGTGTGAAAAACGGTCATAAGTCACTTTTTCAGTTGTAACTTTGGACAGTCACCAAAGAAACTGTTGTAAATTGAGGACTACCTGTACTTAGTTAAAGTAGGTTGGTGGGCTGTTCCTGAACTATGTAGATTCAGTTGTTCGGGATAAGGTCTGTTTCTGTGATTTTTCTTTGGTAATGATTCTCATTGTTTAGTTAACTACTGTATTTTGGGTGTTGCTACATACTACCAATATTTTTTAAACTATTATTAAGTATGTCACTTTTGAACCAGAAAGGTAGACTTTATTTCTTTTATCAAATAAATAAAATATAGCTACATTGGTGGCTTTGAGTCCTCACATTCTGGATATGTGGTGATGAATTATACATTTCCATGATTATAAATCCTTATTAGTTAGTGTTACACTAATTCATTAGCTTCTTTAAATAGATGTTTTTTTATGTCTTGACAATTTCTCCACAGATTTCAGAATATTCATCAGATGATGACAATTTTGAAGGAAACAATGTAGAAACAGAAGCTACTAATTTAGAGTTTTCTAAAAAGTTCCAGTTCTGTTTTGGAGTAGGGTTTGAAACAGATACAGGAAGATCAGCCACTGACTGGCTAAAATCTGCTCAGACCCTTCTACAAACTCCTAAGAAAAAAATTGAAAAAAGTTTGAAGACTCCAGAAGATTCTGCAAAAAAAAGAAAATTGCTGAGGTATGCATCAGTTGTTTAAAGTAACAAGAACATTAATTTTAGAGTTATATTTTTGAAACTTTAAAAAGATGGCATTGGCCATTTCACTTTTTATCATGTTTTGTTGCTAGTTAACGTTTTTCATGTTTTTCAGAAAGTGATAAAAACTCATGCTGAGTTCATCTGTTTGTAATCTTCGATTAGCTGATTAGGTGAAATGGTGATTGTGATTTCCAATGCTCCCTGCCAATCTCCCCCAAGCAAAGTCAGTGGGGAAGCTGTCAGGAAGGGGGGGGGTTGCATACCTGTGGTCATTCTTTTTCTCTGTGTGATGATCCGGGGGGTGGCATGAAAGCAACACAACCAGATAACAGGTCTAACTCTAACGCGGGGATTATGGGAGCGACGGGGCGCTCCCATGTGACACCTCTCCTGCGTGAGCTGCACTGGCTTCCGGTGGTCTTCCGGGTGCGCTTCAAGGTGTTGGTGACCACCTTTAAAGCGCTCCATGGCTTAGGACCGGGGTATATACGAGACCGCCTTCTGCCGCCAATAGCCTCCCACCGGCCAGTTCGCTCACACAGAGAGGGCCTCCTCAGGGTGCCATCGGCCAGACAATGTCGGCTGGCGACTCCCAGGGGGAGAGCCTTCTCTGTGGCGGCACCTGCCCTCTGGAACGACCTACCCCCAGAGATACGCATGATACCAGACCTCCGGACTTTTCGTTGGGCCCTGAAAACATCTATTTCATCTGGCCGGGCTGGCTTGATCCCATCCTTTCGGTTTTAATTTGAAATTGGTTTTAACTGGGTTGTTTTAAATTGAGGACCGAAATTATTTAATGTCTTTTAAACTGTTTTTTAAATTTTATACGTTATGTTTTATCTCGGCTGTTCACTGCCCTGAGTCCTGTTGGAGAAGGGTGGTATAGAAATCAAATAAAATAAATAAAATAAATAAAATAACTTAATTTAATAATAATAAACCTAATAAACCTAACTCCCCTTTATTGCTCCAACTGTGCCCCCAAACGTTCCCACATTCACTACAAGTCCTGGAGCAAAGCTCTCACACGCACACGCATGCCTCTGGCTGTGAGTAGTTCAGTAAGCAAGGTTAACCACAGAGCAACCAGGGCAACAGTCCAGTAAGTCAGGTTAACTAACATTATCCAGGGCCAGCAGTCCAATAAGACAGGTTAGCCAAACAGTAACCAGAGCAAAAAGTTCAGCAAAGCAGGCAAACCGGCAAGCCCCACAAAATGGAGTACAGCAATCTCCAGGCGTTGGCAAGTGCACATGAGGCTCCACAGATTCAACGCTTGTTCCCGACAAATGTTCCTCCCACTGGCACCTCCTTACATCTCAGTCCCCAGGTGTGCCTTATGAAAGGGGGCGGGGCACTCTCCTCCCTCGTAACCGGCTCAATCTTCGTTGATCTCGCCTTCTCTCTTTCCTCCTTGTTCTAGGATCAGGAGGGGGTAGTTCTTGCTCTTCTCCTGAGTCTCCCTGTCTGCAGGCCTTACTAATTCAGAAAAGCCTTGTCTGGACTGACTCTGTCCTTCCCCAGTTTCCTCCAAGGCCAATGGAGCCGCCCTCTCAATTTCTGTCGGCTCTTTTTCCAGCTCATCTTCCCCCACAGATTCAGACTCCAACGGGGGCATGACACTTTGTTTAGTTAAGGAAATATCTCTGAAAGGATGACCCAATGGCTCATGGCTCATCTAGACCTATATAAAATTTGTTATGCATCTGAAATACTTATGGATTACAGGAATTTCCAGTGTTTCCATACCAGGCAGTTTAAGTCATTCAATTTCTGCTGGGATTGGACCCAACTATGAAAGTAAAAGTAATACATAAAAGAGGATTCATGGCGACTCTTCATTCTTAACTTTTCAGTTTTTAATTTATAAGTCTTTTAATCGTAAGTCTTACTTTCCATTCCAAGCTATAAGCAAGGTGTGCACTAATTTTTCCCTAAGTAAATCTATATTTATATGTTTCCCTTTTGTATCAAATAACAGTTGACATATGGGTTCAGATGCACCCTGGCAATATATTTTTTTAAAAAACTATAAAATGTTTTGCTTATTCAATGCTATATTCCAACCATGAGATGTGGTGTAGTTTTTTTGTCCCCCAAACCATAATACAGATAGTCTTTGACTATAACTGGTACTGGAATTTCAGTCATTCAGCAAAGCCGTCTTACCCTTTCATGTTTCCATCTTCAATGTCTTTACAAATGTAGTACTGCTTATCTCTTCTAACAACTGTCTGAAACTCTTTTGTTAAGTTCCTTTCTGAGATGTTTGCCTTTTTTAGCTTTGGCTTCTCTTCTCTTTTTGGCAATTTCCACCCTTCTCATATCCAGTTTGCTTTCTTCTCTTTCATCATTTTTGGCATTTTCATTCCACATTCATTCTTTATGAATTCTTTAGGTTCATTCCATAACTCCTCTGGTTCTCTGGTATCAATGAAGTTCAGGATTTCAAAGTGATTCTTGATGTTCTCCTTGAAATTGATGCATATATATTATATTCACTATCATTTGTGAAAACCAACTGACTTTCTTCTTTGTCTTTAGCTTAACTATGAGGAGTTTGTGATCTCTTCCTGTGTCAATACCTAGGCATTTCTTTCATGCTATAATTGAGCTCCACCACCTCTTTTTAGCAACAACGTAGTCAATTTGATTTCTGTATACACCATCTGGTGAGATCTAAGTATGGAGGCCTCATTTTGGTTGTTTGAAGACAATTTTGACTTATGAAGAAATGATTGCAGTGGCAGAAATTAATAAGTTGGTCTCTTGCTCATTTCAGTTGCTTAAATCATACAGTCCAACTACATTTTCCTTTGCAACTTTGCCATTCCAATCTCCAGTCGTGAGCAGCACATCTTACTTGTATCTTGATTTAAAACTGAACTTAATCATAGAAATCAACTTCCTCCTCTTCTTTTGCATTGGTAGTTACAGCATAAACTTGAAATATTGCCTTAACAAAAATATGTATTATAGCACAAAAATACTCTAGAACTTAGAGTACAAGGTATTCATTTATATATGACAATCAAGCAAAAGCCTTTATTTTTTTTTAATTTAAATAGTTTTTATTAAACAGTTTACTTCATTTTATATCACAATTTTGATCTTTACAGCACTCCGGTATCAGTATATCTCCTAAGTACATACAAATTATTTTCGTTATTCTTACTTTCCTTTTGTGTACGTATCTATTCTATACAATGCATTGATATTGCAATTACATACCTATATATATTACCCTTTATTGTCACATCTTAATTTACTTTTACATCTTTATTCTTTGCTTCTATTCTCTAACCAGTTATACCATGTGTCCCAAATCAGATAGTATTCTGTTTCACCTCTTTCTTTTATTTCCATTGTTAGCCTGTCTATTCCCACACATTCTAACACTTTTTTTATCACCATTTCATCAGAGGGAGTACTATCCTTTTTCTAGTATTGTGCGTAGATGATTCTAGCTGCTGTTATTATGTGTAATATGATATACTGAGTTTTTTTACTATAATTTCTCCTTAATATACCTGATAAGATTAATTCTGGTATTAGATCTATTTGTTGTTTAGTAATTTCCTCTAGCCAATTTCATATTTTTGACCAGTATTTGACCAGCAAAAGCCTTTAATGTGGCTTCAATACAGATTTTTCTTCACAGAAGTAATTCAAAATAGGATCACAGCTGAAAATTGATGTTTAAGAAGTGAATTACTAAATTATTCAATCATGCAACTGACAAAGGTAGCTTTACCAATAATTCTTGTTCTTAGCTTCGAGAATATTGAATATTATCTGAAATAGTAAATTTCAGAATTGCTTTTAATAAAATAGTTTTGAAGGCTGTTCCCTTTACAAATACTGAACTTTTTCAGTTATGGACAATTTTCAGACTACAGAAAGTGCACACTTGACCTAGCTTATGAAATGAATCATGAGGTCAAGTATGCACAAGGAGTATTTTGGGACACATTCCTTACCAGTGGTCACTTGTCTTCCAGTAATATGCTGTAGGGCAATGGTCAAAAGTACACTTGTCTTGACTGAAATTACACTCTTCAGGTGGAAAGTTATTCTGACCCAAAGAGTATTCTTGTATCCTTTTAAAATTGTTCTGATTTTTATTCCAGGAATTTAAAAAAACTGTTTATTGAAACTGCCTATATTAAATGTAGAATTTATTACACACAGTTTATATAAATCTATTCACATACTATTCTTACAATATTCTTCTGTTGCTAAGAATTCTAGAAATTGTGTGTTGCATTTATTTAACAAAGTCTTGGAGAAAATCAGTGAATTTTGAGAATTTGAAAAGAAATTTCTTCTATCTCTAGGGGAGGGCTAGCAGAAAGGTTGAATACACTTCAAAATAGAAAGAGATCCACAGTAAACTTTTGGAGGCATCAATGTACCTCTCACCATGAAACACTGTCAGGTAAGAACTATAATAAAAATATTTTACTACGATTTGGAAGAAAGTATAATTTTTAAACAAAGTCTTATGGTTATATTGATATGACTTCGTAACTGTATGCTTTCAAGGCTTGACCGTCATTATATACTTACCACCCAGAGCCCCTCTATGAGGGAGATAGGCATTTAAGAAGTTTGATATATAAATATTTTGTGTTGCTTCTTGAAGGAAGAAACATGAAGATCTTACATTTATTTACACTCGGTGATGCCTTTTCAACATATATGTTTGGTGGTTTTAAATGTTAATTGTAAACATCACTGATTATCCTAAGTCTCTTAGAATACAGTGCAAAAACAGATTAAATGGCAAGTACATCCAATATGCTACTGTGGTGCTACAGAGTCATTTGCTGGGAATTTACTATAATGCCTTGCCCAAGATGTGTTGTCCATTGCTGCAATGGATTCAAGTCTAATCTGGATCAGTTACAATCTACCTTTTCCAGAGTTGCCTTGATACCCTGGGGTAAACCTTCTATCTTTGTGTTCCCATATAACTTTATGGCAAACAAACTGGAACTATTATGCAAATGTGCCCAAACCATCTCAGCCACCAATTTTTTTTTCATCAGTTATTGTTGACTGGTTGCAATATTGTTGATACATGGTCTCTTTTCTCAATATGGTCTATCACTATACCGCCAAAGACTCCTAGAAGATTCCCAGTTTTTATCTCTGGTTACAGAAGCATTCATGATTTAGCTCAATATAGAAGGACTGGTAATACCACTGACTGAAACAAAATTTGCAATTTTGTGTATTAATACTTTTTTTAAATATTCTGGTCACTGACCATTACAAACACATGTTACAAATAAAAGTAAAAATCAAACGAGATAAAACATTACAGTTGGTGGTAGCTTTGTCAGTGGATAATCAAAGTATGCCTGATTTTAGAGGCAGTATAACAAAATTTTGCTATGTTCAAGGAGACTAAATCATACTGATCTGATAAGAATAACTGTACATAAAAAAAAGATCAGAATTTCCCAGGTATTTTACCAGATAAGGAATTATAAGGTAGATTCTTGAGTCCTTGTAAAGTGTTGCAGTACAGCAGGACATGAACTGAAGTTTCAACAGTCCCTTGTCCACGGGCACAGTCTCAGCTCATAGAGTTTTTTTTTTCATCAGCCCCCTAAAACTGATGTGTAGAGAGCATTGAAACATGCTAAAGTTAGTACTCTTCAGAATTTGGAATGAGTTATGTGTGATGCAAATAACTTGTTGGATTGTAAAAAGAGGTTTGACTGCTTAGAAAAATGTTCTTAAGTAGAGCATACTGATCCTATTCAAATCGCTAATGCTGCGTAACGGGGTGAGCTCCCGTTACTAGTCCTAGCTTCTGCCAACCCAGCAGTTCGAAAGCATGTAAAAAAAGCAAGTAGAAAAATAGAGACCATCTTTGGTGGGAAGGTAACAGAGTTCCATGCGCCTTTGGCGTTTAGACATGCCAGTCACATGACCACGGAGACGTCTTTGGACAGCACTGGCTCTTCGGCTTTGAAACGGAGATGAGCACCGCCCCCTAGAGTTGGGAAAGACTAGAACATATGTATGAGGGGAACCTTTACCTTTTACTGATTCTGTTGGGCTTTCTGTTCTTTGATATGTTGTTTAAATGCTCAAAGTACAAATTCTTGAGTTTATTACCCATCATTATGAATGCATTGGAAAAGCTGCTGAAGTTTTTGTGAAATTGTCCTGAACAATACCAATATTGTCCACAATAAGGAAAGAAAGTCCTGTGGTAAAGAACAATAACTTCAAACAATATGCTATGAATCAGATCCATGCACCAATAGTAGCCTTCCCTCCCTCCTTCCTCAATACTACATGTAGGAAACAAGTGGCTACTCGAAATATATCCCTTAGGAATATAGAAATTGACATTTTCAAGAGCAATATAAAGTGTAAGGTCATAGCTGGGTACCAAAAAGTAATTGTGCTAAAGCCGAATATAACTTCAGTGCTTTTGGGATTTGTTGTGTTCCTCTGGTGAAGTGAAAAGACTGAATAATGGCTGCTATTTTGAAATAATAGAAAATATTTGTAGCTTGGGTTTTAGATTTTGGCAGTTGTTTGCTCTCCAAGCTTCTTTCAATTTAGTTTCCGAACGTTTCATTACCAGAGTAGGTAACATCATTAGCAGGATTGTCTTGTCCTATTCCCCTTAGCTTGTAAATGTCTTGTGTGCCACTGTGTTCAGTTGGTGATTTGATTGGTTGTTCGTTTGGAGTTATATTTAAATTCTGAGCAGCTGATTGGTTCTTTTGTTGGTTGGTTGTTCGAATAGTCTGGTTTCTTATATATTTATATGCTGGATCTGGGTCAAAATGTTCGTTAATTGCTCCTTTGGTAGAATACCAGGCCTCAACAAATTCACATGCATGGCGTGAAAATGGCTGCTATTTTTTGACCATTTTCTAATATAATTTTAGTGTACACTGCATTGTGGAGCTCTAGAAAACCATGCCCACATATTTAAAAGATTTCACTTCATCAATATGCTGGCCATTTATCCTCCCAAGTATGCCGTTTAGGTGCATTTTGGGATATATAATATTGACTTTTCCCCATAAGCAGTAGATAGACGGATAAATGAAAAAGTTCAGTTAACAACACTAATGTTTTTCCCACCTGATGGCGCCTATTGCAATAGTGAAATATCATAGATATCAAAAACTATCCTGATCTTCATGAGTCAGTTTTTCTCTTTGTTATAGAGTTTGGCTGGTCCATACAGTATTTTACTGACTAAGGACAGCAGTTTTTTCATTTGTAGTTGGCTTCTTTGCTAAAGATGGAGATAAGGATTGCTTGGTCTGTAAACATGGTATTATTGTCTTGTTTCCAGTGGAGAAATCCAAATTTTTTTACTACTGGTTCTGTGGGCATGGCTTGGTGGGTGTGGTGTGGCTTGGTGGGTGTGGCTTGGTGGGCGTGGCAGAGGAAGGATACTGCAAAATCTCCATTCCCTCCCCACTCCTGAGGGAAGGATATTGCAAAATCTCCATTCCCACCCCACTCCTGGGGAAAGGATATTGCAAAATCTCCATTCCCACCCATTCCAGGGGAAGGATACTGCAACATCTTCATTCCTACCCCCTCTAGGTGAAGGACACTGCAAAATCCCCATTCCCTCCCCACTCCTGGGAGAAGGATATTGCAAAATCTTCATTCCCACTCCACTCTGGGGCCAGCCAGAGGTAGCATTTGCCAGTTCTCCGAACTACTCAAAATTTCCCCTACCGGTTCTCCGAACTGCTCAAAGTTTTCGCTACTGGTTTTCCAGAACCTGCTGGATATCACTCCTGCTTGCTTCCATGTGCTTGGTATTTGTTCTGAAGTACAGAACAATTAAATTAGGAAATGCAGTTGTCATAAAGGTCATCTTGTGACTTCAGTACTTCTGCTATGACCTCATCACATCCATCAGCTTTGTTTTACTTAAATAGTTGTGACCTCTGATCACCTTTTTTTTTTTTTTTTCATTGTTGGAAAAAAAGTATACTTTGTCTCTTTCTCTGTAAGGCACATACAAATGCATTTGTTAATTAGAAGCCTTTACAATAGCCAAGAAATTTGTTTAAAAGAAGCTAGAAAATACGTATCAATATCTTTGTCTTAAACCATAGACTTCCAAATAGGATTATATGCCTGTAGTTTTTTCTCACATTTGCCTATCTTATTTGAGGAAAGTAAAGTGCTATTTAAGTAAAAGTAAACATTTTTCAAGTCTAAGCTTTTATGATTAGGCTTAAAGTAGCACTTACTTAAGTTTGTACAATGTGTGTACACTCCCCTTTTTTCTCTGTGGACTGAGTCATTGGTTTTATGTTTAAAAAGCTTCTCCTGCCAGATGTCTTCTGGTTTAGTTGGTACACCTGTGCACAAGTATCTGTAACCTCCTTCAACAGAAAATAAGAACAATGAAAGAATGTTGTTATATAATTGATAATAAGCTTTGCAGACTTAACAGGATTATATTTTTTGGAAAGAAACCATCCTAAATGTTCAGCATAGAAAAGTTCTCCTAAAGAACAATTTCTATAGGGAAGATAATTTAAGAAGTACCCCCCTTTCTTTTTTTGCTGCTGGGCTTTTCTTGGGACTTTCCCAAATACTGACCTTTTGGTCATCTAGCTTTCCCAGAGGTTCCTTCATACTCCCAAGGAAAGAAGTGTATGTAGAAGAACAGAAAAAATAAGATAGACAATAACATTATGGCATTTAAAATCACATACTTTCACAAATGCAACGTTCATTGTTTCGGTTTGATACACATTTCTTTCTGTGTTCTTGTGGAAATGGAATAATATTAAACCTAACAAAGTTTTTTTTAAAGGAAAAGAAAAACAAAATCAGAAATGAGGGAGAAATCCATAGAGAACTGAAGAGAGATAAAAATGATGAGTGAACAAGGAAACAAATCAGAAAATTGGAGAAAAACAAAACCACCAGATAAAGATTATATGAAGGCCTCATTGAAATGAACAGTGGTTTTGATGGACTCGCTGTCAATGATATGGGAATGTCCTATCTTTTAATTTTAAAAATCCATTTCTTTGACTATAAGGAGGCCTTCAGTTATGTCAGTCATTCAAGTTATAATGCCTTTGGAAAATGGGAATTCCAGAATATCTCATTATCCTCATACACATCTGCCACTCTCTGGAACTCTAAGATATTTACTTATAGCATTCACTGAATAAATAATATATATATATATATATATATATATACACATTGATCATGGGCAGTGAGCATTCCATTCATTGAACATGGACAGTATGTAAGGATATAGCTTTTTTTTTTTTTTTGACCAAGATCTAAATCTGTTCTGAAGAAGCCAACAGCACAATTAGTCATGTCAAGTCATGTTCATTGTCGCATATTGTATTGTCTGGAAGTGATTTGATGAATTTCAGGTCGCATTATATAATTAGTTGTTAACAC